CATTGCCTTAGCTATCAATGTCGTGCAGCAGATGAGCTGTTAGTAACAAGGCCAATGCCACAGAGGCAAAAGGGCTCAGAAAGCTCTGCTTGCCCCTTTTAAATTCACTAGTGTGTGACCTTGACCATGTGTTGGCTTCAAGCCCATTAGGATTCTGAGTCTCTTTCAGCAAGCAGGTACTCAGAAAAGGAGACATTTTTTTTTTGATTTGGTCCCTGTTAGGGATCTATATGTATGGTCCAGGCAGGATGCATGATATGAAAGTGGTACAATACACGCTTGGAGCCTGGAACCTGACTTCACGTCAGTCGGTGATATCATGAAGATAAATCTGACAGTTCAAAGGCTTCAGCTACAACTCCAAGCAGCTCCTTCGGAAAGTCACTGTGCATTTGAGAATATGTTTTCTCCTCTAAATGAACAAGCACAGTGGATGATTTCTAAACTTCTGTGTAATATTAAGACTTTATTAATTAGGCCAAAACATTTCTTAGAGGGTCAGACTACATCCTAGACACACATAAGGAAATTTTGGATATCTCACACCTGGATGGAATTCCCAGGGAATTTAAATCTTATGGAAGAACTCCTGAACTTGGCTGACACAGGAAGTTGGCTAGGGTTCTGATGGAGTCCTTGAAGATGGCATGCTCAGAAAATGGTAGAATGACTATGATATCCTTTAATCTTAATTGCAGTTTAATTCTTTACCTGAGGTTTACACATGAAAGTTGTGAGATTTTAGTTAATATTCAAAATTGACGAAGTACAGTCAGAACCATAAGTAGCTGAATACCTTCAGGTCTTACAAAATGGATTAAATTAAATTGATTAATATGCCCGCATGGTCAGTTTTATCCTCCACTTGTGGAATCTGATCCCCATTCCCGGAGGCGCTCAACTAATACTTGAGTCTTATTAAAATGAGGGTATCATGATCACATCATTAAGGTTCAAATTAAGTTTTTGGATGCTCAAATTATGCCAATATACTTTGTTTTCTCCTTCACTGTTCCCTGTTGTATCATGTATATTTTGTCCATTCACTATTTGATTTCTTCATCACAACAGCCATGTCTGATGAGATGGAAGTAAAAATGATGTCTCCATTACAAGATCACAAGTGTGAAAGTGGACTAACCAGAGAAATTTAGCCACAGGCCAGTTACATTGTCCTTGAGGGGGGTTTATTTTCTGAAAGTTCAAATCTCTCCACTTACTTATGCAGTTCAATGCTGTCCCTTCAAAGAATTCATCTTGTGAGGTTATGCACTTGTGCTGGAAATATATTTGTTCCATTCATGCTGCTTATTAATTGAATTATTTCTAGAACTTCTCTTTCATAATTGCTTTCTGAAATGGAAACATTCTTTTCAGCATTCTTAATGGTGTTTTAGATAAAGTGTCTAGTGAAAAGAAGGGCACTTAAACCAGGTATATTATTTCTTACACTTTTATGCTTTCCTCTTTTTTCCTTGGCTACTCTGCCTCCTCCCTTTTCATCCTCTCTCTCTTCCTTCTTTCCTTCCTTCAAAAAAGGGACGTAGCTGAATTATTTTGTGTCATAATATTTATCTGCAGATTTCCAGACATTATTCCAATTTATGCAATACAATTGTAGAAAGAAAATATTTCCTAAGCAAATTTTATTAGTTGTTAAATCTATTTTGTTAGTTGAAAATACTCTATCTTTTTTTGTAATGACATCACCTAAAATGAAATCTCTCAGGCCTTGGGGCATTGGTGGTGCTGCCAGTTGTAGGACATGTGACTGTTTTCTTTAAACTGGGATTGGGCTTGAGTATGCAGCTTGGAAGAAACAGCTGGAGAATGGAGAAGATGCTGGATCGGGCACTGAGGTGGGTTAGGGATGCTATGCTTTAATGGTGGAAATAGCCAGAGCAGACAAGGTGTGGAAGGAAGGAACTTGAAGCCATGGTACATTTTGACTATAAAGAAAATGGGGTTATTGAATTTAATGTTGTTATAAGAGAATTGAAGTGATATGATAAAAAGGGCATTAAACTGAGGATGTTTAACAATATTCCGTGCCTAGTTGCTTTTGTGAGATTGAGAAAACAGTTTAACCCATTTATGCTAAAAAAAGAAAACCCAAAGATATTAAAAGGCCAAATATAAGATTTATGGGCATCCCACAAGGTGCAGAAAGAGAAATTGGATTTAAAAATGTGTTTAATGAAATAATGCAAAATTTCCATAATCTAGAGAAAGAATTAGGAAACAACATCCCAGAGGGACACAGAATTCCCAACAGGTTTGACCAAAAGCGATCTTTACCATGACACATGATAATCAAGCTCTCTTCTATCAAACATAAGGAAAAGATCCTTAAATGTGCTCGTGAAAAAAAAAATCAATTGACCTATAGAGGAATGCCAATTAAATTCACAGGACCTCTCACAGGAAACTCTACAGACCAAAGATAATGGAGCAACATATTCCAGATTCTAAAAGCAAAAAAATTGTTGGCCCAGGGTAACATACTCAGCAAAGCTTTCCTTCTATGAAAATGAAATAAAATTCTTCCACAGTAAAAAAAAAATGCCTCATCCAAACCTTCCCTACAAATGATACTTAAAGATGTTCTTTTGACTGAGAAGAGGAATAGTACCCACCAAAACCAAAGGCAAATGTGAAGAACATCCCAGCAAAATAACAACGAAGATTGAAACAACCATTGCTGAAATGAAAGGACCAAATGACCACCCATTCATATTAACCCTGAATGTACATGGCTTAAACTCATCCATCATGCATCACAGATTAGTAGACTGGATTTAAAAAACACGACCCATCTATTTGTTGCCCATGGGAGACACATCTCACCAACAAAGATCAGCGGAAACTATCTCGTGCTTTTTGTTTGTTTGTTTGTTTCATCTCTTCAAAACACTTTCTCATTAAATTGTTCACTGACTCATAGATCATATGGTAGCATCACTTTCTTTAAGAAGGTTCTTGATTTTCTTTTTCATTTCTTCAGCAACACATTAGTCATTCAGTAGCATGTTTAACTTCATGGCATTTTTAATTTGCTTTTTTCTTCCTGTTTTTGTTTTGTGGCTTTTCATTTAAGGGGATGTACAGTATCTGTGTAATGGTGACTGTCATATACAGATGTGAGGATACAGTGTAGTATGCATCTCTACTTCTAGATCAAAGATGGACTCCCAATGAAACTGTTAACTTTTTTGACAATATGATGCTGGACTCCGGCATTGTCCATGCCCACAATGATGGACATATGACTTTATGAAGAACTATACTGTAATAATAATATAAGGGAACTCAGTGTGAGAGTGAGGGGAAGATGGTACTTGGGGAGGGGCTAAAGGAAATCCCAGGGCCTATGGAACTGTATTGTAAAATGATAATAATAATAATAAAGTAAAAATAAAAAGACCCAAATTCTTCATGTTGAAATTACAGAACTGAGTGAGTTTCAGGTTTTATTAATAAATTAAAACAGATTGTATAAGGAATGTATGGTATCCTGAAAAGCTTCCATGTGGCAGAGTTAGAATATCCAGGGGGAACAGAAGTTTTAAAGGGTTGCACGGGAGGAGATTTCAGAGCTACTCAACCAAGAGATGGCTTCCTTGAGAGAGAATAGGTATGGAAAAGTCCCCCATTGACAGATGCATTGAAAGTGTGTGAAGAAGTGGTGGGCCAATGAGTTTCTTACACTTTCAGTTGTATTGTTCCTGGAATCCATATTCTTTTGAGGTCTTCTATATTCTTGATTGTACATATGAAACTGGACAAGATCAAGGAATGAAAGGATGAAAATCCCAGGCAGTTCTGGGAGTGAGAAGTGATCCATGAGGGTTTGATCAATCTTGTCTCAGCAAGTTTATAACTACCAGAAGGATATGAGTGCTAGTAGCTGCTTGTTGAACCTAATGCTGCAGAAGTTTCATTGAATCAGAAGTTAAGAAACCTTTCAACTTCCTTCCTCTGTCAGTCTGACTTCAAGTGTATGATGTTTCTCTCATTCCCTGCAGCAACAGGCTGGTAGCAAGCATCAGTCTCCCGAATTAGCTTACCATGCACACACAGAGTTGACGACGCTAAATCCCTCACCCATATGGCAAGGGGACATTACTTACCAGCACAGTTGCACTAATGTATTTGTGATAAGCACTGTGGGGCTTCCCAATGCAGGATTTGCTCAGCACAGCATCGCAGCCAGTGGGTACGTGGGACAAGCTGGGATACAGGTGTACAGAAGGAAGACCAGCCCACTGGTCTGGCTGCAGTTCTCTCCAGGGTTTTGACAAATGTGTACAGATAATCCTGGGGAACTCTGTGAACCACATTTTCTTCTTTTTCCTACCTTTAGGATCTTCTGTATCCTGTGGTACTAGATCTCTGCCTACTGGATTTATAATTCTTAGAAACTGGGCTGGGCATGTCGTTAACAAGGGTTAGAAATTGGTGGATCCCTGGATGAGGTAGAACCCTAAGCATGAGACCTCTTTCGTCAGGAATTTGTCTTGGTACTCATAGCTACTTCCTTTTCTTGTCTGTACTACTTCTACCCTTTAGCTCCTTTCTTGAACAACACTTGTTGGCTTTTAATGAGATTTTAATATGTACCATGTCTCATGATAAATCCTTAATCTATCTCATTTAAGCCTTACCAAACACATCATGTATTGCTTCACCTTTTATAGATAGGAAAACAAGTCCTGAGGCTCAGAAGGCTAAGCAGTCTACTCAAAGCTGAAGGTATAGGTGTGACTCCATGACTGACCTTATTTAAAATTACTACACTGTTTTTTATGTGACTCGTATTATGTAAAAACAATTGGCTGTATTGTCAAATAGGAACCAGAAGATTGCCAAGGTGCACAGTGTCTGTGTATCGATGAATTGATTTGTCTGCATCCATCTTTTTCTTTTTCCACCCATACTCTTTTTGGTATATCTTCTTCATGCAAGATTAATCTTCCTTCTTTTTTTTTTTATCTCCGCAGGTATCTGATCAATGTCACTTTTGAAGGGAGAAACCTGTCCTTCAGTGAAGACGGCTACCAGATGCATCCCAAACTGGTGATAATCCTTCTGAACAAGGAGCGGAAATGGGAACGGGTAGGACATGGTTTTTGTATTCGGAGGGGTGGTGAAGTAGAGGAGCAAGCTGGAAAATGTTGTGACATGCTAAGGAAAATTTGTCTCTTAGGTTTTGATCCCTGGACCTAGGGTGCAAGAAATCATATTCTAAAAATACAAAAGAGCTAGCCCATTCTCAGAGTTACAGCTTCATTTCCTGACTAGTTTGGTTGACCAAGAGGTTGTTTTCTTTATGTATTTTCATTTGATATTGGTGACTACCATATTGTTTGAGTCATGATTTTCTTGTAATGGAGAGGCATGTGTTTAATATGTTATTTGATGAAGAAACTGAGTCAGTGGTACAATTCAGTAGTCATGTCCTTCACAGGACCTGTGGAAGCCTATAAAGACTGATGTATACAATTTTTAAATCTTAATATTTATTACCAAAACTGGGGTGTTATGGGCCTCTGATTAGGATGGAGATCGATAATGGGAAAAGGTGAGTGAGATAGATGACTCAGTTTCCCCTCTGTGCCATGGTGGGGTTTGCGGGGAGAAGGTGGCCACTCATTGTTATCATACTGCATTAGTGCCCACGGATGGAGACGGACTGCTTGATGCTGTATTTGAAACTCATTGTGGGGAAGAATGTTCTGTTACTTGAGTGGTCTTGATTTTTCTGAGTTGTCCTCTTTGTTACACCAGAGGTGAGAAATTTTCTAAGGCCTGTTGGTTGCCTCTATATCCCTCATGTGTCCACAAACCTAGGTGCTTTATGTACAGCTGGCATGAAGTGTTATTCAACCTGTGCTACTTTCTGTCTTTCGAAGAGGTACTCAAAGTCTTCTGTTGGCTGAGGTGCTCTGGCTGTCTAACCTTTAGTGTTCATCTGTGAATGCTCCCCATGCTGGCATTACTGTTGGGCACTGAGGTGGCTCAGTTCTGTAATGTGTCTTCCAGGGTCAGACCACATGTGAAGACTGACTGATGAGCAGATACAGTTAGATTTTGTGTTGTGAAGTGTTGTTGTTCCAGGCTCTGCTCAGAATTTTTCTACTGCCACTTGATCACAAGGCTTGAAATGCAAACATTAAGGATTAGTTTCCTTGTATGTCAGGTTGCCCATGTTGGACTTACTTATCTGCTTAAGACCTTGAACAGTTCTCTTAGCTACATTTTATAACAATCTCCTCTTCTGTAAAATTGAATAATAACAATAGTATACATATTATGGGCGCAAGGGTGAACTATATTAACTAACACTTGTAGACTATGGATGCACTTTAAAATAGATTATGGAAAATTTTTAGAGTTAAAATATAGATTTGTACTGTTCCCCTCTCTCCAATAAAAAAGAAATCCATACAAAGTTTTTCATACTGTAAGTTTCCCAGTATCTTTTTAAAGACTCATACTTAGAAAAGTACTGTGTAAGGCCTGGCACAATGGCCTTGTGGCTGAATTCTCACCTTGCATCCACCAAAATCCCACATGGCCCTGCTCTGTGTCCTGGCTGCTCCACTTCCCTTCCAGCTCTCTGCTTGTAGTCTGGAAAAGCAGTAGTGGATGGCCCAATACCTTGGGACCCTGCACCAACATGGGAGACCTGGAGGAAGCTTCTGGCTTCTGGCTTCAGATTAGTTCATCTCCAGCCATTGCAGCCACTTGGAGAGTGAACCAGTGGATAGAAGATCTGTCTGTTTTTTCTTCTCTCTGTAGATCTACCTTTTAAATAAAAATAAATAAATCTGATAAAACATAAAAAATGAACTATATGTATTGTGATTACCTGGTACATATTTGCTTTCCTTATTACTCCAGATTCTCAGTTAAATACCAGTGTAACCATACTACTGTCACCAGTGGTCTTTCTTCAGGTATCCTCTGCAAGGCACTTGTCCCTTGACATACTTTGCTGAGAAGCAGTTCTGCAGGTTAGTGAGGTTGACAGGTGCTGCCTACTGTCTCATTCTGGAAGAGTTTCAGAACATGTCAGCATTTGAAATTTCAGATATATTTCAGCCAAGAAACACTTATAATTTTATTGAGTATGGCATTTCCCCTAAATATTTTAAGACCCCCTTGTTTATACTGTTCCTGCTCTTTGAAAACACTTTGGAACACAGATGGATAGTAAGTGCCACAAAATCCACAGACCAATTGTCTGAGGACAAGCATCAAGGTGTCAGCCCCTGGTTCTGACTGGAAGAGAAACTAAGTTGTTATATTTCTAGGGAAAGCTGCCAGCAAAAGAAATGGAGACAAATACCCTGATATTCACGATCTTGTCCCAGAGAGCCTTGGATAGCCAATTCCACAAAGGCACATAGGTAAAACCAAATCCAATGCAACAGTCTCTCATGCGATTGTTTTCATCAGGACTCAGCTCCAGGCCTCAACCTGTGCTGATGGGCTTGATTAAAGTCACCTTCCTACCACTGAATATCCCTTTGTTTAGAAATGCTCCCCACCCTAATCAGGTTGGCTTTCACTGCTGCCATGGAAACATACTGCCAGAAGGGTTCTGGACCCTTCCTTGCCCTGTGCATAATAGGCACTTCTCAATATCTCCAGAGCAGTGGTTTTTAACAGCTGAGATTTCACATGTGAATACCAAGATGGCCAACCAGAGTAGCTTTTATGCAGTAGACTCAAGATTGCTGTCCCAAGCAGGTGCATCTCACAGCTGTCTAGCTTAAAGGGACATACCCACAGACCTGCCAAGTTCTCTCCCTGGGACTGCACTCTGAGGCATGTGACCCCCATACCATTACATAATGAGACACTCCCTCCTCACTGCTGCTTTCTCTCTAGCTCTGGCTCTAGTCCTTACTTGTAAATCATCCAAAAACTATGTGATAAGTTTTTAAAACAGGGCTGCTTATCTTAGATGCCTGCCCTTTTGTCTTTGGTCAGTTCTGCCTACAGATACTAGAATGAGCTTCCTAGTGCACAACTCTAGTGTTTGTTTGCTTGTTTGTTTTTGTTTTTGTTTTTCCTCTGCTCAAACCAGTGTAAGGCTTCTATGACTCGTGGATTGGGTCTAAACTTTGTTTCTGCATTCAAGTCTCAGATGTGCCTTACAAGGCATGTTTTCTCTTCTGTATCATGTCTCTCTCACCATCAAGTCCTTGTGTCTCCTACAGCCTATATAAATGTTATAATGTTTCTTTTCCCTGGAGTGAATTGTCCTGTTATCCAAATCATAGCCATCCTTTGAATTCAAGTGTTGCTTTACCAGTCTTTGAGTTATAGTCCTTCACTCTCTTCTCTCTTGTAGCTTTAATCCATGCTTCTGTTGAAGGACCATCACATTGTCTAGAGGAAAGCCTCCAGAGGCCAAATGCCATGTTATTATGTCATTGTACCCTAACAGAAGCCTGGAAGAGTATGCTTCATAGTTCAATGAATGTGGAATGAATGGGAACCATTATAGAATGAAACAGTCAAAAATCTATCTAAAAGAGTGCAAGTTTATGCCATTGCCCTTGATACACACTGGTTTTCTAGACCACAAGCAGGGAGCCAGAGGGGAAGTGGAGCAGCTGGGACATGAACTGGTCTCCATATGGGATTCCAGCACTTGGAGGTGATGGATTAGTTGGTTGAGCCATGTGCTGTCCCCAGATTTATCTTGTATCACTTAAGTAAATATCATTTCCCTTGGCTGACAGCCCATTGTAAAGTGGCCATTCCCTCATTCCATTCCATGGATTATTTAAAATTTTTTAAATTACTTAATATGTTTGGGTGAGAGAGAAGGTGGAGGGAGGGAGGAAGGGAAGAAAACAGGGAAAGGGAGAGTAAGTGAATGAATGAATCAGAGATCCCTATTTGCCATTCCAATGCCTATTAAGCTAAGACTAGGAGCTGAGAGCTTGCTAAGATTTCCCACATGGGTAGCAGGGACCCAAGTACTTGCTCCTTTACTTGCTGCCATCCAGGACATGCACTAGCAGGTATTGGAATTGGGAGTAGAGCTGAGACTCAAACCCAGGTACTTTGATATGGGATGTGGGCATCCCGTGCAATGCCTTAACCACTGCACCAAGTGTTTGCTCCATCATGTTTTATTGTCATTTTCTTCAGTATAGTTATTTACTATTCTGTGCATTTGTTTTCTTGCTTGTCTATTGCCTCTTTGCATCTAATGAATGATTTGTGGAAAGAAGGGTCTTATGCCCGTTTATGATTGTAACCCATAAAAAGAGTTTCTTGCTCAATGTTCAAAATATAATTCTTTCTTAAAAAATGATTTATTTTTTTATTTGAAAGTCACAGTAGCAAAGTGTGAGAGAAAGACAGAGCAAAAGATATTCTGTATGCTTGCTCACTTCCCAAATGGACTCAACAGCCAAGGGTGGGTCAAGTGGAAGCCAGAAGCCCGGAAACACATCCAGGTCTCCCATGTGGCTTCAGGGTTCCAAGCACTTGGACCCTCTTCTGCTGCTTTCTCAAGTTCATTGGTAGGGAACTATACTGGAAGTGAAGCAGCCAGGGCACCAACGGGCATGCACAGGGGACACTGGCATTGCAAGTGGCAGCTTAACCTGCACCACAGTGCCAGCCCTATATAGTTCTTACATAAATAAAATATCTGTACGCTAAAGAGGATTAGTATATTGCCAAGATATCTTAGGTTTGCTTAAAAAATCCCTCATTTAGATGGAGTGTTTTGCTGAGAGGAGTGTGAGAACAGGTATCTTCCCACCTTTGGCGAGAGCATTGCAAGTGCCAGCAGACTTGAGGGGATGGTGACAAATACGTTTCAGGCAGCTCAGTATGGTGATTACTGTGTGGATGGATTGAATAAAGCCAAGGATGATTATTTGCAGATGTGAACCATGTGACAGGATTTTACATCATTCCTTTGTGTGTTATGAATAGTTCCCCAATGGTCTTTTAACTTTGGTTCCTTTGAAAAGGCTTGAAGTCAGCACAATGTAGACTGTGGTTTGGAAAACCAGAAACAACTAAGTTCAGTTCCCCATGTTGCCGTTTGTCAATTGAGTAAACTTGACATGCGATGATAT